GGTTTAGGGCTTGGTGTTTAGGGTTTTGTGTTTAGGGTTTTGTGTTTAGGGTTTTGTGTTTAGGGTTTAGGGTTTAGGGTTTAGGGGTTTAGGGTTTAGGGTATAGTGTTTAGGGTTTGGTGTTGAGGGCTTTGTGTTTAGGGTTTGGTGTTTAGGGTTTTGTGTTTAGGAATTGGTGTTTAGGGCTTAGTGTTAGGGTTTAGTGTTTAGGGTTTTGTGTTTAGTGTAAAGTTTAGGGTTTTGTGTTTAGGGTTTGGTGTTTAGGGTTTAGGGTTTTGTGTTTAGGGTTTTTCAGGGGCTTTAAGGGTTTAGGGTTTTGTGTTTTAGGGTTTTTCAGGGGTTTTAAGGGTTTAAGGGTTAAGGGTTTTTAAGGGTTTAGGGTTTTAACGGTTTTAAGGGTTAAGGCTTTTTGAGGGTTTAGGGTGTTTAAGGGCTTAGGGCTTTGAGGGTTTAGGGCTTTTTAGGGTTTCAATAGTTTTGAGGTTTTGGTCTAGGATTTTTCGGGGTTTAGGGTTTCAAGGATTTTGGGTTTTTAAAGGTTTACGGTTTTTTGGATTTAGGGTTGAATGTTTAAGATTTAGGGAGTACGGTTTAAGGTTTAGGGTTTAGGGCTTTTAAGGGTTTAGGGTTTAGGGTTTAGGTAAGCAAGGAATTTTGAGGATTGAGGGTTTAGGAATTAGGGTAGATCCTAAGTAAGTAGCTTTAAGGGTTTAGGGTTTCCAGGGTTTAGGGTTTAGGGTAGATGTCCAAGCCCCACATAGAAAGCCTCTGCTCGAACGACACAAAGCCCAACAAGGACCCTGAGCCTTGCCCCCTAAACCCTAACCCCTTGAACTGCCTTAACCCATAAACTTGACCCTAAGCCTTAAACTGCCTTAACCCATAAACTTGACCCTAAGCCGGTAGTAGGACGGGTGGTTTGTAAGGTTTATTCTTCATAGGGTTTCTGCGCAGGGTTTAGGGTTTAGGGCTCAGTGGCGATGGTTGAATGTCTCCTGGCGTATCCAAGCCTTTGAGGCGTAGCTTTAAGTGCCATGGCCGCGTCCTACTTCTGCCCTCCACAAGTGCGCGTGTTTGGATCCTACCCCAATCTGGAGGTTTAAGGGACCCTACTAAAAGCTTAAAAACGCTTTGCGGTAGAGGTGATTGCAAGTTGACTGTGGCACTTGTGGGTCTCCCTTGCATCCAAAACCAACCTCCCTCCCAACCCTACCATTGGCGCAGCTGTATACTGTAAGTCATTGTAAGCTGTATAATTGGTACAAACAAGTACCAAGATCTCTAAACCCTAAACCCTGAACCCAAAACCCTTTGATACTCCTTTTGTCCTCAAGCTCCCCAGAGACTCCAATACCCCTTAATTCAGGAATATACCTAAAATTAAATCATATTAGGGATCCTACTATAATTTAAGGTATATTCCTTAATTAAGGGGTATTGGAGTCCCTGGGTCGACCCGCCTCCACGTTGGGCTTCCGCACGCGCTTTACCGCAGCAAGGCGCCCGGAACCTTTGCGATTCCGCTAAACCCTCAACCCTAAACCCTAAACCGAGGTTCGGGTGTGGGTTTAGGGCTTGAGGTTTAGGGTTTAGGGCTTAAGGTTTTGGGTTTAGGGCTTGAGGTTTAGGGTTTAGGGTTTAGGGTTTTAGGGCTTTAGGGCTTGAGGTTTAGGGTTTAGGGCTTAAGGTTTTGGGTTTAGGGCTTATAGGGTCTAGGGCTGAGGGCTTGAGGTTTAGGGTTTAGGGCTTAAGGTTCTGGGTTTAGGGTTTAGGGCTTGAGGTTTAGGTTTAGGGCTTGAGGTTTAGAGTTTAGGGCTTAAGGTTTTGGGTTTAGGGTTTAGGGTTAAGTGGGTTCCAGCTTTTGAGTCTAAATCCCAGGGCTTCGAGATTGGGATATCGGCCTAGGCGTTTCGGGCGGGTTTACTGTGCAACGCCTTCGCGTTTGTCAGGTTCAGGCATCACCTTAAGGGTCCAAGTACTTTAATTATGAACAATCGTAGACTCAGGAATGGCCTGGAGGGGGGGGGGCCAAGGTTTACGAAAGTTTACGACCGCGGCCCTAAACCCTAACCCCTAGAAAGCCTCAAGTAAAGGGGTGAATCTCCAAGTTATGGATTCCTCTTAACCGAAGACTCCAAGTACGCCAGTAGTAACTAATCACTTGGGGTTTAAGGTTTGGGGCTTAGGGACAAAAATCTAAACCCCTAAACCGGCTAAACAGTTTGCCAGAAAAAAACCCTAAGCCCTATACAACCCTTATGGAACCGTGGCCCCTATAAACCCTTACAGCCTTGTAAAACCCTTATAATCAGAACCCCTAAACCCTAAACCCTAAACCCCTAAACCCCTAAACCCTAAACCCTATAATCAGAACCCCGCAATTTCTGGAGAGGCAGATCGTAGTAGCACTCTTAAAAGCCCTAAACCAAAAAAAGCAAGAGTGCCGCTTTGTAGAACCCTGAAAGAGCGGGTTTAGGGTATAGGGGCTTAGGGGCTCAGGGTGAGCTGCGGCCGGCAATCCTGGGGTTTAGGGTTTAGGGTTAGACGTTAGGGGTTTAGGGTTTATGGGGTACACTTTCCTAAATTAGAATCAGGATTCCTAATATAGACACCCTACATTCTACTATTTTTAAGTACCCAACTTTGGAGCAACTGCCCATCCAGATCATCATGGCGAGGGTATCGACCTCGCTCTGACGTTTCCCTTCGTGATGCTCCATACTGTCGCAGTCACTGAGAAGCTCTAAACCCCTTAAGCCCTAAACCTTAAACCCTTAAACCCTGAACCCTTAAACCCTATAAGCCCTAGTGGAGGCTTGCCCAATTGGATCGGGAAAGCGTCGAGCAAGTGCTGGCGATGTAGGAAAGAAGCTCTGACCCTATGGCCCAAGCATAATCCCCAAAGGATTCTAGGTATACTTTCCTAAATTATGATAAGGAGTCTTAATATAGACACCCTACATTCTACTGTACAAATACGCTTTGCGAATAAGCTTCATACCAAGAGCCCTAGTAAAGACCCAGGGTTTCTGAATCAGGTTTCTATGCCCCTGAACCCTAAACCCTGCTAGTACCCTCCTAGAGCCCTTTTTTACAGGAACCGTGATAATCCCCTTAAAAGGCAACCCTTAACTTTTAGGAGTGCAGTCTGGAACAAGTACACCACCTCCACGATTAGCGCCATGGATGGAGTCCGGAGGAGAGGTTTTAGGGTTTAGGGCTGCGCCTTCAGACGAACCCTGCTCTAATTAGTAAGGACCAATTACTACTGTTGATGATCCTGCATGACCTTAAGGACCCTAAACTCTGGGAATTATGGTATATCCTTATTATGTTTAGTGCAGGATTTATATCATCAACCATATCAGGGGCCCATTTATCATAGAACACTTCTGGGAGCCTTTGGAAGGGTTTGGGGGTTTCGGGTCGTATAGGGTTCCTCTGACAGGTTCCGTTGAAGGGTTCTGTAGGGCTCCAGGGCCGCGACACAAGCTTGCAGGTTTAGGGGGTTGAGGGGTTCAGGGGTTTCGTAAACCCTAAACCCTAAACCCTAAACCCTAAACCCTAAACCCTAAACCCTAGACCCTAAACCCTAAACCCTAAACCCTAAACCGAGGGTTGAGGGTTTACAAAGGGTTGAGGGTGCCTGTGAGGTTCCTTTAACAGGTAGCCTGAAAGAAGTATATAAAGAGGCTTTGATAAGCTTTAGCAGCATGTAAGCCCTTGAAAGAAACCCACAGCAATCCCAACATCGTAACGCCTCATAATTAAGTTCAACCCGAAAAAGGAACCCTATTCCAAATATCAGGGCCCTAATGCTCCTATACTCATCATTAGGCTCTGACAACCTCCATGGACTAGAACCCTCGGGCTGCTAACGCTCGCCTTAAAGGCCCTAAACCCTTAACCCCAAACCCCAAACCTTAAACCCTTTAATGTTTCTAAAGGCCCTAGTGTCATCAGGCCCCTGGACCCCAAACCCCCCCACAGAACCCTTAAAGAACCCTTCAAAGAAACCCTTAAAACGGCACCTTGTTCTAATGATCCAGGACCCTAAACCCCATACAAACCTTGGCACGACCCAATTTAATGGAACCCTTATACACCCTTATATTTTTTACCCTTGAGCCACAAATCCAATCTGCACGCCTTAAAGGAACCCTCTCTAATGAGTTGAATTCAAACCCTAAAACCCTAAACCCTAGCCCTATACTCGCAGATCGAAGAACGTTCGGATGCAGAGCCAGCGCAAATCTTCTGCCTTGCCAGGAACACCTCGCCGTAGCCTCCGGTTTAGGGTTTACGGCCAGGGCTTTCGAGTTTCCTTTAACGGGACAGGCCTTAGGAGCTTAGAGCATCTGAACCCTAAAACCCTAAACCCTAATTGCCTAGAGCCCTAACCCTAACAGCATGAGCCTTTAGATAAACCAGACAGAATCTCTCTTTAAGCTTGACCTGACGATTAACGGACCCTAACGGCATGAGTCTGAATAGAAGTCAGACAGAACCTCTCTTTTCAAAGCTTGAAGGGAGCCCTTGTGGATGATAGAAGCCTCATACTTACTTCACCAAGACGCCAGGGAAATAACAGGTCAAACTTTCAGATTACTACTAAAGTGTAAGAACCCAAAAAACTTCAAGGCTGGCTATTGGAGAACTACGCAGAAGGCCCGCCTCCTTCCCCAAGGTCTCTTTCACGCTCGTAGAAATCCTCTCATGGCCAGGGCGGAAGCGAGGTTTAGGGCTTATAGGGTTTGGGGTTAGGGTCTATGCGATTACAGTGTGTAGAATTTCTTGGGATATCATCAAGGCAGTGCGGCTTGCAAAGGAAATGCTAGTTCACCGTTTTGTGCTTGAAGCTTCCTGACGAACCAAGCTACCAACATTCTTCTGTTGGAGCACCGTCAGTCTTAGCCCTGCAATTAAGGGAGTTACCGAAAATTTGGGTACCTTACTTTGGGGTCCTTATAATAAAGGATCCTACTATTTAAGGTACTAGATTAGGGTCCCCTAATTTTCGGAAACCTCCATAAAGCCACAAGCTCTCAGCTCAAATACTAAGTATGTATGCAACGGAATGCTGCAGTCAGGAACCCCAACGCAAGCAAGGGCAAACGCTTCCGGCAACGAAAAGCCCGCTGCAAGCCCACTGAGCCGATGGGTTACGTAAGCTCTGAAGCAATCAGAAATGCGCCCGTAATCCTCAACCCTGAATCCTAAATACCAGCCGAAGCCCCGTGCAGAAGCTCACTATCGGTCCGACAGGCGACCACTTGCATCGCGCAAGAACTGTCTCAAGTTCCACTTGGCGCCCTGTCAGGGTGTCAAGTTCAATGTACGTGTCACCGTCATAGGGAATATTGTTTGAATCATGATCAGAAGTGCAGTGGAGCACTAACAGTCCAATCCGTATAGGGCTCCGAATATCGAATAGTAATGTACTCTCCCCAAAACAATCCTCGAAAACGACTATCCTAAAACCATGTACCTGCTAATTGGGTCCTGTGGACCCTCTACTAGCTATCCAACCTCAGGAATTCCTGCAAGATTGCCTGGAGCTTTCTTTGCGGAAGGTGTCCTGTATGAATGTATGTATGTGTAGGTATGTATGTAGGTATGTACGTACGTATGTATGTACGTACGTCTGCGTGTCTGTATGTGTGTATGTACGCATGTATGTATGAATGGATGGATGGATGGATGGATGGATGGATGGATGGATGAATACGTGTATGTATGTGCGTAATGTAATGTAATGTAATTTAATGTAATGTAATGTAATGTAAATG